TTCCTGATATTCTCTCTTTAGTGAAATATTGAAATCATCTATTTGAAATTTTTCACTTTTCGTATATTGTATTAGCACCACGAGACTAAAAAACACATATGAGTTCCATATTTCATTTCGAAAATGACTCCACTATCAAGCTGTTTGATAAAGTTTAGCGAGATAATTTTGAAACATTATCACTTGAGGGTGATCAACGCCAAACATAAGACGGGAAATATCAACAGCACGTGTTTCGTATTTGATTGCCTCTTTGTATAGATGAAGATCTTCGAATACATGTGCCATGTTATGGTAGGTTGAGGCTAGCGATGGATGATTGGGTGGAAGAGCTTTCTGCTGGATTTCAAGCGTTCTCTTGTAGTATGATAATGCAGTTGTGTTGTCTCCTATTGATCGATATACCAAACCAAAATTATTGTAGGTTATAGCCAAATCGGGATGATTGGGTGGAAGATATTCTTGTTCGATGGCAAGTGTCTTCTCATAGTATGAGAGTGCACTTGAATAGTCGCCCATCAATCGATACGCCTCACCAATGTTATTGTAGGTAATGCTCAATGATGGATGATGTGGTGGAAGAAATTTCTGTTTAATATCTAGTGCTTTTTGATAGTACGAAAGTGCTGTTGAGTAGTCTCGTATTGAATAATACACTACACCAATGTTACTGTAGGTTGTAGCAAGCACTGGATAGTTTGGCGGAAGACCTTTTTCTATGATTTCAAGTGATTTTTGATAGTATGAAAGTGCAGTCGGGTAATCTCCCATCGATTGGTGAGCCAAACCAATGTTATTATAAGTAGTAGCCAACGATGGATGATTGGGTGGAAATGCTTTCAGCTCGATTTCAAGCGCTTTTTGCAAGTATAATATTTCAGTCGAGTAGTTCCCCATCGATCGATGCACTTGACTGATGTTATGGTAGGTAATAGCTAGATGGGGATGATTAGATGGAAGAGATTTTTGTTGAATATCAAGCGCCTGTTGTGCGTAACTAAATGCAGTCGAATAATTTCCCATCGAATGATAGGTAAGACTGATATTATTGTAGAGAGTAGCGAACAATGGATGATAGGGTGAAAGAATTTTCTGATTAATTTCTAGTGATTTTTGATAGTATGAGAGTGCATTTAGGTAGTCTCTCATCGACCAATGCAACTCACCAATGTTGTTGTAGATGACAGCCAGTGATGGATGATTGGATGGCAGAACTTTCTGCTGAATTTTAAGCGACTTTTGAACATATTCGAGTCCAATTTTGTATTCTCCCATCGCATCATAAACCAAGCCAATGTTGCTGTAGGTGACAGCAAGCCATGGATGATTAGGTGGAAAAACTTCCTCCATAATTTTAATTGACCTTTGATAGTAGGAGAGTGCACTCAAGTAGTCTCCCATTGATCGAAGCACTTGTGCAATATTATTGTAAATACTAGCTAGCCATGGATGGTTCGATGGGAGACATTTCTGTTGAATTTCAAGTATTTTTTGTAGATAAAAAAGTGCAGTTGAGTAATCTCCCATGCCATTATATAATTCAGCGATGTTGTTGTACGTATCGATGAGCAATGAATCATTGAATGGAAGAATTTTCTGTCTAATTTCAATGGTTTTTTCATAATGTTTGAGTGCAGCCAAAATATCACCCTGTTCTTGAAGAATGTATCCGAGCTGTCCGTGGACAAAGGCAAGTTGTTCTAAATTATCGTCGCATGTCATTTTCAGTTGTGTTTCGTAGACTTTTTCGGCTTTGGTCAATTCGCCCATCCTAATCAATAACTTGCCGAGTCTATTTAATCCAGTCGTTTCTTGTATTTCACTTCGCATGTGTTCGGCAAGGCGTTTGAGCTGTTCATCATTATCACTCGTCAATGTTAACGTCACTTCCCATAGTTTCTCATCAATTTGTTTGATCTCACCAATTCTAAATACAGTATGCATCGAAAAGAGAATTTCTTTTTCTGTATCACTAAAATAGCTAATATTATCCAACGAAGCGAATGGAGAGGATGAGATCGATGGATCAATTTCTAATCGAAAGAGAATTCCAGTCAAATCAGGATGATATCGAGCACTGTCCGCGAAAGCTAATGAAACTTCTCGATCAATACTTGTTGACAGAAAATTATTGAAAGAGAACAGACCACCCTGGTTTGTCTTCATTTTCTCAAAGTCAATATTTGACATGCCTTGACCTCTGTAGATGATCATTTTCCCGATTTGTTTTGTCACTGAATGTACTTGTTCAATTTGTTGGTGAAGATCTTTTACGTAAAATCCCATTGTGATAATAATATCAATATCTTGTGTTCTGAGAGCTTTATTGAGAATCGAATAAATAAATGAATGTCTAGTATACCACCAAATAGGCGAATGTAGATGATAGTCTCGTTCGAATTCATCGATTATACATAGTTGAAAATTGTTGTCAGCATATAGGACACGGCAAAATTCGATAAATTCTTTCTTTGCCTTGTCATCATATTTCATTTCAAGTAGGGTCTCTTTGAGCAATTGTGAATACATAAATGATTGATCGAGTTCATTCAAATCAATAGTAGAAGAAGCAGAGACAATACTGATGGAAGTCAAATTCTGTTCGCATTGTCGAGTATTTCGTTGGAGTTGTTCCAAAACGAACGATATATCAGTTACGATGGCTTTGACTTTTCTCGAGTCTTTAACGCACTGCTCCTGTTTGATTCCATTACTGTACAAAATATAGATTGAATCGATTTGAGGCACATCATGAATAAGTGGCACTAATGTTTCACTGATTTCATCTGATATAATCAAAAAGACTTTCTGATCTTTGACATCAGTGAGAAAATCAATACATTTATTGATGTCAGTGAATGTTTCGACCGAATTGACAATATGTTGAAGTTGAGTTATCGAATTATAATAATTAATATCGGATTCATTGAAATTCAAATCCAACCAAATGACAATAAAATTTTCGATAGTATGAGATCGTACAAACCTTGTTAAAATGTTCTTCTGTGTCAAATTTTCTTCAGCATTGATTTGTATTGTTGGTAACATCGCTAAATTTGCTTGTTGAGATTGTCGCTTTCAGTATGTGGATATCGATATTGCTGAGTGACTAGAGTATTTTATTGGTCTGATCTAATAATATGTTTGATATTCTGTATTTTTCGGCAACGAAATTTGACGTGCGTAATGAATGAAGTATCTTTTTATATTTTTTTACTTGATAACCTAAAATGAATCACCATGTAGCTTTACTGTACAAATGAGCTTCTCACATTCTCCTTCTGTTGTCATGCATCGATAACACATGCTGTTTCTTTCATTTCTTCGTTATGTGTATTCTCTTTCTTCCTTGGTTGTTTATTAGTCATCAAGGTAGAGATAGTGCTTTTTTTTTTTTTACTTTCTCTTATTCGATAGCGTCATACGTGAGTTATTCTGTTTTTTCATTTTGAATACCAAAAGAGTTGAAAGATAAATTTTGAATTTGAAGAGTTTTTTCTGTCGCTCGACCGTTTGATGTTGTGGAGTACGAGACATGATAATCGAAAAATATCATGATCAGATATTCTTCTCGTATTAAACTTAATTTAAATATACAGTTTTGCTAAAATTTACGAAAACAGAAAACAAATTTAGAGAATATGGCAACCGCTTAGATATCAGATGTTAATGATATCATTAATGTATTTGAGTTTTTCTTATTATGAATATAAAAAATTGGACATAAGGAAAATTAATTTATCCATATTTATCTATAAGATTATATTATTTCTATGCTTATAGCTATTTTACAAAAGTATGTGTATATCCAACATAGAAATGAATAGATTTAGATAATAATTTGATGTCTTTTGTAAATATAATTCATTTATTTAATCATTAATTCTACTGAGGATTTTTTTTAAAGTAAAAACAATTTTTCAATTTTTATGCATGAAGTGTTTGATTCGATCTTATTTATATTTATTCTATTGAAAGATTCCAATATAAAATTATGTATTCTTTGTTACAGAATTTATTATTTGTCAACAGATAAATGAAAATTTCCATAACCATTCTGATGTAGTACTACTATACATATAGGGAGAACAAAAGAAAAAGATTCTTTTTACTGGAAATAGAAGATCAAATGGTCTTCTAAAACTGCCATAAATAACAATACTTTTTGTCTCAGTTCTTTTGATTTTATCGCCTATGTACAACCTTCAAAAATCTCGAAAATCCATATTTAGTCCATTGAGCACTATTGATATGAATCTTCGATCTCTTTAACAACAAGAGCAAATATCACTATTAAAAGTTCTTTACATTAGCTACAAAATATATAAATAAAACTTCAAATATCGACGGAAAAAGACATCTCAAATAGGTACATATTGTCATTATGGCACCACTTCCGATTACAAGCCAATAGTAGTTCGAGAATTTGTTGTCCAATAGCACTCAAAAATAAAAAAAGCTAATACCAAAATCATCTTCAAGACAAGAATTTTCAATGAAAATAACAGATACTGTAGAGATCAGAAACGTACATTGTTGAACACAATTCTTTTATGGTAAACACCACTCTAATGTTAGATTTTTTTATTTTGAGTACTATTAGACGACAGATACTCGAAATATTACTGATTTGTAGCCTAATTCTATGCTTTAATGGTAGTCTACACTCTATCATCGATCTTATAGTTGCAGTAAAAAAAAAATTTTTCTCTCATTCTTTTTACTTTTTTTTTATTATTCATCCGTTGAAGAATAACACATTCCGTCATAAAAGATACTTGTCTTGACATGATCTTTCATTCGAGATAGGATAGTATATATTCCAGTAGAAAAAGTCCTACGAACAGATTTATGATCTTATAAGTTTCCCTTCTTTCTATCATTGACTGAGTTACCGTATCGAAAGGATTAATAAAACATTTATATAAGATAAATATAGGCAAAAAAACAACAGTACAGACGAGAACATATATCAATGATTTGAATTAAAGATAGTTATGTCATGCATGTATCTTCTTGCTAATTGTCGTATTCATTGGCATTTCATTATTTTTTCGAGAAAACATTGATACATTTGTTAATAGTGTTGCACCTACTCGTGTACTTCCTATTGGTTCATCTAATGAATCTTGATTGAAAAAACTTAATTGAAAATGAGTCGATGTATGAGCATAAAGTATTGGAATCCATATAATTGATGTTTTGGCAAAACATGCACAGACGAAAATGGTCATTGGTGGTAGGGCATAATCTTTACCTTGAAATGCCGAAATAAAAAATGCTATTGCATAAGGAGTCCATGTGAAAATAAATCCAATAGTCGTAATTACAATCACTATGTTAAAAATTTACAATATCATGAAAATTTAATTAAAAAAAATATATAATTAATATCTTCTCGTAAGAGTTTTATTCAATAACAATAAATCCGTACTTTTAAGAATGCGTCGTTCCATTTCAATTCGTCTTCGAGAAAATATTGTTTGAAAACCATTTATTGTTTTTCTATGCATTTGTTGAAGGCCAAACCAAGTCATTGTATTTGTAGTAATGAGAATTATAAGTGGAATACAATAAACAACAATGAAAAGAAAACCAATGAATGTAACATAAGATATACGTCGATCATACCAATTAATACAACAAGAAGTACGAGTTCCCTAAAAGAAAAATGCAAACAATCATGATATTTCACAATGAATATGGTTTTCATTCTTTATAGCAAAAAGAAAAAAAGAAAACAACTGATCAATACAAACCTCCATTGTATATTCATTCCATCCCATTACTGGTAACATAGTCCAAATAAAAGCAATAAGTACTAGAATACTGCATACAACGACACTATTATTCACCTGAGAGTTATATATAAATATTAATTTTTCTTATTGTCAACAATTATTATTTACTTACAGTAATATTTTTAGCTTGAAATGGTCGAACAATAATATAACATCGACTAATACTTGCTCCACAGAGTAAATATGAACTTGAACATCCATAAAAATATGCAATAATAGCACTTAATTGACAACCTGAACGTTGATATAACCAACGACAATAAATTGAAGATGTACCTGTCATTGGAAGCATTGTGCATGAAGAAAAAAGACCAATTACAACAATAAACATAACAAATATATTTGATGGTGAACGAAAAGCCTGATATCGTACAAAACTATAAAGTAAAGTTCCATTTAAAACAATACCAATCAGTGTAGCAACACATAAAAATATGCCAACAATACGAATCATATTACAATCAACCGGTGTTGGACGACTCCAAAATAAAGGATCATCACGAGAAAGATTGAAATCAAGAATTGAAGAATAATTAAACCACATTGTCAATGTTTCTCTTTGAATAAAATCAAATGATTTTATATCTATATCTACTTTTCTTCTTTTTATAGTTAAATAGATTTACTAGAGAAAAAAAAACGTAAAATCTATTCAGAAGAAGTAGACATTTCTCGTCAATGACTCTCTCAGACAGATGTAATCAAGTGAATGTAAATAAACATTAGTTAGAAAAATTGTAGTACTCAGCTGGTACAGAAACTAGAATAACGACAAGAAAAAAAAACTGAATCATGATTATGTATAAAAGATAATTGATTAAGAAAACAAGACAATTACGAGTGTTTTGTTATGACGTAAACTTTGTAACCGATGAATAAAAATTTTATAATTTAAAAAGATTAATTTGCTTGTTTGTATGTGCTCTCTGAATAACTGATAGAATCAATGCAATTCTTTTCATGAAGATTTCAAGAGGACAAAGAGAAAATCTATTTATTGATGTCATATTAATTTTACAACAAACATAATTTTCTTTAGAATAATTTACAAAATTGAACATGAAACAGTTGGCTTACATCTGCCAACTTTTTAATGACGTTCAATGCTTTTATGTTTCATACACTCGAGATATTCTTTTAAATAAGAATCATAAGTGTTACAATGTTAATAAACACGTTTTCTTTTTCTTATACTTCTAGTACATAATATATGAGTATGAAAGTTTTGTCAAAACGACATTGATATAGACAGTTTTTCCTTTGACAAATTAGATAAAACGATTCATTTTGATTATAAAATTAAAAGAAGTTCAAAACTCAGACAAGCATATAATTTCTTTATAATTGAAGAAAGATTAATAAAAACACATTTAAAATAAGACATGAAAATATTCTTTAGTAAAAAAGCAATACATTTGAAATGATAATAATCAATTATAGGCAATATTGTTCATGTCATTATAATTATCAGAGATGTAAACAACTAGAAAAATTTCAACACAGATATGATCTGATTCGATTTAGATGGACTTCAAAAAGTTGACGAGTTGATCATAAATATAATTTGTATTTCGATTTGAATACCGTCCCGTTGAAGAAAAGTTTATAACTCTCAACTGACTAAATATGTAACATTCGTAATTAAGAACTCGATCTTTCTACAAAAATTGTTGAATTTTAATTAAATTATTATTTTTTTTTTCAAACATTATGAAAAAAAAATTCACTCAAACATAGACAGTCACAATATATCTCATGACACGTATTTATGAGTACTCTTATAAACTTATTTAGTAACAAGAAATAGAAGGTAATGTCTTATCTCATTAGAATCGGCAGTTAGAGAGTTACAAAATTATGTCTTTAGTTTGTTGAGATTCTATTTTATTGTTGAAAAAGTTAAATATTTTATCTATTTGATGGTAACATTAGATATTATGTCTGTGGAAAAACTACATATCAATTAAAAAATATGATTCTTCTCCAGATTGACGACATCCAACACACAACGATCGATCTAAGTGGCAGAGTACATCAAAGAGAGTATGTATCACAGTGTCTCTGGCTTGACAAAGTACCGGCGATGGACACCGTTAAGTGGTTAGTCTAATTGATAGTGACTCAATTAAAGAGCGTCAGGGCGAAGTTGTCGTCAGCATAGAGCAATAGGCTACACTTATTTAACAAATAATAGTATGACATGATGGATAGAAAAAAATGTTACCCTTTTTTTTTCTATGAAAAATCGACCTCTGTGAGACTAGTAACAAAATCTTTGAAAAATAGACCTGAAACAGATCACATATATATTTTCCATCGGAAACAGTTTTTATTTCAGTATGTATGATTCGATGCAGTTTATGAGGTTAAGTCTAAATATACTATCTATTTCTCTTCGTTACTAAATCATAATCATGAAAACCATTAAATATGAACATATTTTTCATCTTGTTACATAATGTTACCAACTCTAATTTTCTCAATAATAAAACAGAACTTCAACTAACAAGACATTTTTGTAGCTCACTATGTGCCGATTCTCTAATGAGATAAGACACTGCCTTCTATCCCTTGTTACCAGATAGGCTTATAAGAGTGCTCATAAATACGTGCTATAAAGCAAGTTGCAGCTTTTTATGTTTGACAGAATTTTTTTGATTCTGACTAACTGTAAACTTAATCAAAAAACATTTCTCTCTTAAGTTTTTTACACTGAATCAGAATAGAATATTTTCATAAAGTATTGACAACTTCTATAAAAAAAAATCGAATTTATAGTTACTAATTCTACATTTTCTGTCATTGAAGCATTTTATGGTCTTTTTTTTTCAATCAAATGGTGATCAAACCGAAATAAAAACTATATATTCGCGAACAGTTTTTCATGCTCTTATCAAGCCATATATAGACGAATCAGATAAAACATAATTCAAATTTTGTATTTCCAGAATCTTACTTGAAAATAAATATAATTGATCAATAATAAACGCCTTATGATAGCTATTAAGTATCGTACAGGAAGTTGATATATGCGAAAGTTTTATGCAAAGTAAACACAATAGAGAAGACTTATTCAAATTGAACATCTATCGACTACTAACATAAACACACACTATGAACTAAACAGTCTAGAAATGAAAGAGACATAGAACTATGCTTTGCTCGTGATCATCTTTTATACAAATCAATAAATACAATTTGTACATGACTATGTCACTATATAATAAAGAAAGAACTCATTATGAATCGGATATGTGAGAAAGAATTCAAATCAGTTTTAATCTTCGATAATAAATCATGTTCTTCAAACAAAAAACAAATGAATATGAACTTAATTGATATATTCCTACATAGATTTTATCTTATGAATAAGAATATATACAAGAAATTCTTCTTGTTGATCTATTAATTTTATACTTTTAATTCGTGAAAATTTACCTGTCAATATATTCATTAAACAAACTTAGTTTTTGGTTAATATCATCGAATTATTAGAATATGATCATGAATGTGAATCTTGTAAATTATTTTCATCAAATAAATGTAAATGAATATATAGATACGACAAAAATTATTCAAACGATTTTCATAACTGAGATATTTATTATTCTTCTTTATTAAAAACAAACCTTTAATTATAATATTCATTATACACAGGAACAAACAAATAATGTGTTCACGCTATTTTCCAGTGCAATCCTAATGCACAAATAGATTTAGTTAATCAAAAATTGTGAATCTGTATTTGACGACGTTTTCCACAAGAAATAGCAAATTGAAATTCTTTTGTTAAAATATTATTTCTACGTGTATGATAATGAGAGTACTATAGATTTTTTTTGTTTTTGTTTGATAGCTGTGATTAAGATATTGAAGAATCTACTTCAATGATAATACTTTATTTTACAATAACGTTATTTTATTCAAAATTTTCAGACAATATTTTGTGATACAAATTAGCATCAACATCCTACAGAAGATTCTTTTTTGTTTGATGTACTCTTTTAATCGATTATCTACTAAGTCGACTAGATTCTTCATAATATCACGCACCACTGAATTTCAGTACTGTCAAATTTGAAAGTTGAATTCAATTATTTCAAGAGTGATGTCTATTGTGTGTTTCCGTCAAACCTTCATTGAAAGACATGGCATGTATAAGTGTTTTCAGAAATAATTTAATATCTGAGTATTCGAACTCATTATTAGAATAGTCAGATATTCGAACTTCAAATTTGCAGATATAATATATTCAATAATTGAATTCAAGTTACAAGTTAGACATATAGAGATTAAATTGACTTCAAAATTCATCAACCAATGAAGACACATTATGATAGATTTTTTAAAGAATGATATTAATTTCGTTTTTATGATTATGAATAATTTAAAACTGAACTATTTTGATCAGATTTATCTTCATAAGAAATTGATTAAAATTAGATTTTTACAGTTTTTTTTTTACATTTGTAAATGATAAAAACTGTTTTCTCATTAGTTACTACTCTTCAATACACACTTATTTTTATCACGTACTTATCTTATTAATTATTTCTTCCTTCTACATATGTTTACTTCATTATTAAATTTCTACTTGACTATTGCATTCAGTCAACCACTGTTTCATCTATTTCCATTGCGCTTGTTCTCTCTCTCTCTCTTTTCTTATTCATCAGTTTCTAAAATACATCATCAGACCTTCATTCATGTTCAAATCAAATTATTATCGCTTTATCATGTACCTTTCATAGTGGCACCTGTGATTACATCTTGTTTCATTTCAAGAGTTACTGTCGCGAAGAAGACCAAAAGTTATTGGTCACGTTTTCAGAGCACTTAAGGATAACCGACGTCAGACTTCGTTTCCAGAGGTTCTTAATCACAAGAAAATGAGTTAAACAGGAATAAAGGCATGACTTAGACGGTTATATAATATTCCAAAGGCTTTCTTGAAATTTGAATGACTATAGAATACGTTTGTGAATGCTCTAAATAGTGAAATTTTTAATTTTTATGCAAATAAAATTTTATATTTAAGAGATCAACGATACTAGATAATGATATATTGATTTGCCATAATCATCATATGATTAACATAAAAACATGTGAATTGATCAAGTAATAACTTTCAACAATAATCAATATCAATGTTTGTGAACCTATCTAGATATATAATAGTGCATTGAGACCTACTGTAGATGTAATAAGTATGTGAAAAGATTTATTAGATAGTTAAAACAAAAGTTAGAATAATAAGAGTAAATGAAGAAAAACAGAATACGAAAAAGAGATGTAACACGGAAAAAATACCAAAGCGTCAGTGAAAAAATATCGTATTTTACTTATTTTGTATACGTCTATGTACATGATGAAGAAACAAAACAGAAAAAAAAGCAACGAGCATTGTTTCTAGTACTATCTTTGATTTTGTTCTTGTTAAATTCATGTACTTCAATTATTTTTCAATACAGATTGTTTCTTTTTTAAAGAAAAATTCATTAAACATAACTATTGATTAGAAATGCGAGGAAGATGTTTCATGTCTGAACGATATAGCAATATCGCACTTCAATTTATATTTATCACACATGGCTAAATATCGAAATCCATAAATTGCTTTTAGAACGGGAAACTTTTTATTAACTATGTGCACGTAAAATACACCAATAAGAATATCCTATTCATTATTTATAACATTACTGAAGTAGAAAGAGTGGATTCAATCGAAAAGCTGCGAAGAAGAAAAGTACATGTTTATCTTGCGAAGTCACTCTAGGAACTGATTTCAATAAAGTTTCTCGTTCTCCAACTGTTGCTACTTTACTAAATTTTCGGCTCAATGTCAGATATTGTCAGAGGAATTAAAACAGGATATTATAAATTTAACTTTTGCTTCCTTTTTTTCCAGAAATCAAAATATCCTGGTGATACATTGCAATAGGAAGAAAATTCATTCAAAACGATCATTCCAAAGACATATCTTATCTAGAGATAACTGTTTTTAGTTTTTCTGTCCTCTTAGTCAATATCAATTTCAAAGCTTAGAATTCATTGATGATGTTCTCTCATACAATGAAACAATAAAAATTCTTTCAAAATTTATTTCTTTTAGTAATTCTAAAACAAATATGAGTTTATCTCCAATAAAACACAAATTTCTAACACATTTTAATATTCAAAAATAAATTTCAAACGTCTCGATAAATGACAATATAGTAAGTTAATAACAAAATTTAAACGAATCATGTTCAGATACTAATTTTCAAAACTCAAATCATACAAAAAACACAAACAACAGAAATCTTTAATTTTTTTTCGATGATACAATTTTCATATGATCCAAAACTGATTTAAAAGTTAAATGTTCACAATTTTGATTGTTTTTATATCGTTCTCGAATTAATGTTGAACTGATATCGTCCGACTCTGAACCTGATGTATCCATATCATCATCATTAGCACATACGTAAAATACATTGGAACCATCTTGTACATGTGTTGATGTTATAAAACGATCATCTTGACCTGGACGATAAACTACAGCAACACCACCCAATGGAGATCTTCTCAATGATGTCATACCACGACAACGATTAAATAAATCAAGACCAGCAACATAAATAACTCGAACAGGTTTCGGCAAATTTAATGCTTCATTGATGAACATTTGAAGGCTATATGTTACACTTGCGAGATCAATGAATTGAGGAGCTAGAAAAAGAGAAGTTCAATCAGTCAAACAGTAAAAAATAAAAATTCTTAAAAAATGCGTCATTTTACACGTTCGATTTTTTAATTGAATGTATTCTTAGAGAGAGCACTCATATTCTATAGGTTTGAATTCCTTGAAATATAATTTAGGTGAATTTTTCTGAATATTGTTTGTTCTTTCTAGAGATGCACTCAATTAGAAAACCTAAATGTTTAGTAACATGTTCAGATATACAATAAAAATTATTTTACATATAAAAAGTTGATGTAACTATTGCACGTTTTGTGCGATATTCTGTTTTTCCACAACTACAAATTTAGATAGCTAGATGATGGCTATCTTCTTCAATGAAAATATATTCAAAAGAAAAACAAAATCAATTGACTTACCCATACATTCAGCCATGTCAACACTCAACCAATGTTGTTGACCAGCTTCTTCAATAGCTTTTCGACACATTTCAATGCGATGTTGACCATTAATAAGTTCATGTCTTAATTTACCGTGTACATATTCATCATGAGTCGGTGATATATATCCACCAATAACATTAAAATTATGTACCCGCTCTAAGTATTGTTTCGTTCGTATCATATTTGATATATGACAACGATGAATAGGATTCATAGAACCTGTCTTGATTAATACAACATATTCTTGATTTGTTGGATGAGATTTTAAATTTGAATAAAGAATTGATAGATCAGTTGTACGTTCAGAATGCATTTGAGAAGTTGAAAGAGAAATTATGAAATGAAATCCGTTTACTCAACCTAAATATAAATACTTTGATGTTGGGTTTTTTTCCCAGTAAAACAGTTTATTTCTTATTTTTCTGAATGATTCACAGTGTAAATTTTGTAAAGTTTTATCAACAGAACAGAAAAAAATCTTGCATTAACTACCTAATAGTCTTTTTCTTCGCATGTTTTTGCATCCTTTTATGACGCCTATTATCAGTCGACTTCAACAAATGACGCATAGTAACTCAAATGCAATAGAAACATGCGTCATTTTTTTTCGAAATCATTACAACTTTCTACGATTCACAAAAGCACCATCATTTCGTTGGTTTTTTTTCTCTTATTTACATACACTTTCAACGAAATGAAAAAGCATAGCTGCACGCTTTATACAATACTAGCGAGAACCCGTGCATACTGCACGGCTGTTTTCTTCTTTAATGTATGACCTCAGACATTTAACTTTTCATCCGGTAAAATACATACAGACACTCGATATTATGTATATGAAGGGGAAAAAAGCGAATCCTGGATCCCCGGATCCTGATGGATCCTGATGGATCCTCATGGATCCTCATCGATTCTGATGAAGTGTAGAATATATTATTTCAAATGTCCAAAAGCGAGGGTGGAAAAAGCTGATACTAATGGATATCAGGATTCATTAAGGTCCAAAGAAACTAAGTGGAAAAAGGGAAAAGTAACTTTAGAATTTGTGACTAAGAAGAAATAAATGTGGAAACCTCGAATTAAAATCCGACTGTTATGTGTACTTCAAAAAGTAACCAGCAGTGTCCAAATTCCCTGGAGTCGGGAACTCAAAGGATCCGCAAGTCGTATTTTTGAAAAAAATTTTTTTTTCTAAAAATGTTTTTTAATGCAGAAACAGACTTTGTGAGAAAAAATAAATTTTTTCGAAAAATTTTTTTTTGTATGCAGAAAAGACTTTTTGAGAAAAAAATTTTTTTCAAAAAAATTTCGGGTGTTTTCGAAAAAATTTATTTTTTCTCAAAAAGTCTTTTTCTGCATACAAAAAAAATTTGTTTTTCAAAAATAGGACAATCGCATAGAATAGCATAGGGCAAAATGACTTTTTTTGCGATAACTCAGCAATGGTTCGACGAATCATTCTCATCTTCGAACTCGACTGAGACCAGGGCTCAGGGTTGCCAGATCGAAATCTTACAAATCGGAATTATTTTGCTGGAATTCGGAAAAATTCGGACAAAATATCTGCTTAATTCGGAAAAAAAAATTCGGAAAGTCATTTTTAAGCTCTTTGACGCTTAAGCGAATTTTTTCTAACAGAAAAGTCTTCTGCATTTGGTTATTCTTTCTGTAGATATATTTCATCAATGTTAAAATAAATGTATTAATTATAACACCATTAGGAAACATCATTTTCAAGAAGAGACTGTTAATACAAGAAAAACAACTCAAAATACACTATCTATACATATGTATATATACAATTCAAAACACTTATGGAAAAACACTAAAGCTCATTTATCAAGACGTGTCTTTCTAACAAATTTTTCATTTGAAGCTATTTTTGTCAATACTTCGTCTTGAGTTAAAAGAAAGTCATAAAAACGTGAACAATGAATATCAGAATTCATTCGGATTTATAGTTCAGCTTCAACTAATTCTATATCCATTCGATTGCGATAATTAGACCATAGATGATTCATTTGACTAAATATTGATTGAAGCTATTCTAATAAATCTTAGACGAGATGAGATTTGAAAAAAAGATTACATTAAATCTTCTCTTCTCTCCCTTCTCTTCTTATTTATTTCTAATAATACAATCAATTACCCAATGATTATAAGAAAATAAAGATGGCGCCATATGAAATCTATCAAAATATATATAGAAAATTGTAATGGACAGGAAATTTTAAAAAATACTACGATTCGGAAAAAATTCAAGAATTCGGATAAATTCGGACAGTCGGAACGCAGTCCGAAAAACTTAGAAAAGTCTGAAAATTCAGACTAATTCGGACAATCTGGCAGCCCTGCCTACGGATGATGGAGAGTTCATGTATTGGAAGAAAATTAGCATAAATTTATATTCGAATCTTTTGTTTTAAAATGAATTCTGCAGAATTCACAAGTTTAAAAGCTTTATTGTGAATAATGGCTAAACTGTCATAAAAAGCTATACAATGACTCACAACACTAAAAGCATTGGATAATACTTGTCATAACTTCTTAAGTATAATGCAGTTGGGAATGTATCATTATTCTGTACAATAATTATTGTGACTAATCCATGAAATGAATTAATTTTTACAATAACATTTAACTCTCTAGTTTCTTAATATCTCGCAACACCAAATAGCTTTAAAAGAATTTCAATCTATCCTAATCTAAGTGAAAGAACTCGGAGCAGTTAGAGGATAAACATAATTTGAACTCGCATAAGAACAGCTAGACTAAGATAAGTTTGATCTATTATGGATTAAATTATATAATAATGTTTATCGAATGCTGAAGCTAATAAAAAGGCTATTTATTCCTAATGAAAAAAATGCGAAAATTTCTTCGAAAATACGCCAGTCGGGTCGGAGCTTTTACTGGAAGTCTGTTTGGATTTGACCATTTTGCGAAAAAACAATCTATAGAAATATGTTAAGAGAGGAAGTTTTGCTCAATCTTTCTACAATAAAACTTTAAGTTTTATATTTTCTCGAACAGTTCGATTTTCTCAGTCGCTCTTCAACTACATTTATCGTACAATGATATATCATACCTTTCATTTTTACTTTTAGATTGATGATATCATTATGAAATCAAGCGATATGAGACAATATCTCGGTGATCCAAACGAATATTCAGATAGTCTATTTCGAGCTAAAACACACGAAGTCAACATGTTCAAAAAATATAATCTGGATTTATATATTATAAATTTGACCTTTTAAGATATAACTGATTCATCATCACTTTGCATTCCAAGAGAAGTATTATTATCTTGTATTGTACTCGATGAAAAACTGATGAAGTTTCAAGAGACAAACATGTGTGATTCAGCAGAGGAACTTCAGTTAATTGCAACATCAAAAAGTGTCACAATTAGAATTGAAAAGCGAATATTTCAATTGAACAATAGGCTATGATTCGATAAAGTACAAAAAGAACGTTTAAATAAATAATCAACAATATAATGGTATCTAATCATTCAAAAAGAATCAGCGAAAGATTAGGTTAAAATAGCACTATTTTAGTCTGATTAAAATCATGTCGTCTTAACTAATTTTTAATCAAAGACTCATATGTGTGTGATTATTTGTTTCTAACATTGTAGCTCTGTTTATTTCTTCTCTTTTCTCTTACCTTGTATCATTATTGTCATCGTTCTCCTTCCGATAAATGTAAACATCTCATAAAACATGAATTCAGAAACACGATGTTCGATTTCGTCCATGATTGGAGTTCTACATTTTGGTTAGTGGCGCTATCTGCGACCACTACCTCTATTCTTTTCTTTGATTTCTTCATTGGTCACTAGATCTACTTATGTTTGTTTACGTTTACGTTATGTGGAACTATATATATACTCAGACAAGAAAAGTATCCGGATACCTAGATGTTTTTTCTTGATTTTTTTAACAAAAACAAAAGACGAAATGTACCTTTTTTTCATAAAAGATAAAACTTTTCAGTTCTCAGTGATCGATAGCCTTGATAAGGACCATCCAATGATGAAAAAAAAGAAAAGTTTTATCCTTTATAGAAGAGGAAAATTTCATCTTGTGTTTTTGTTACCAAAATCGAGGAAAAACATTTGGGTGTCCGGATACGTTTTTTGAATAAGTGTACATCGAAGAAATTAATTACGGATCAATTGAGATAATATCCTATACAATATAATGACACTCAGTAAATGTAGGATGTTCGATTCTAAAGTATCATCTATTGGCTGCTGTATATTCATTCACACTTTTACAAATCCAACAATAAAAATCCAATGACCCGTGATGTTGCGGTAGGTCAGAACAAACATGCAACGCATGTTTCAAAAAAGTCTGAATCCATATGAAGAGCAGTAAACTCAAGGATTTTTACTTTTATTTTAAAATGCCGCTCTGGATGTAGGTGTTGGTGTGCTTCCTTCTCTCACACCCATACGCCATAGCCACCTATATTTGCACTCTACCCCACACATTTCGGTAAACTATCGTTAACAATAAACTTTTTTTGGTAGAAAATATTAAGTGTTCAATGTTCAAAGCGGCTTGTTATAACACCTTATAAGGCTTTATTTATAAAAAAATGACTTGTTTCTCCATGTCCCAACCACCTATTTCTGCAATTTTGCGAACGCTATTCATCATTCCAGTTGGACCACAACATAGCAAGTAACCATCATGTGCATTCCCGACCAGAGCTTGAGAAATGTACCCAGAATGTCCTGTCCATCCATCGCTTGGACGTAACAGACAATGATGCAGCCCATTGAAACCATCGATCTCCTGACGCAAAAGAATATCTTCTTCTGTGTTGTTACAATCTATCACATGACATTTGATGCTTTCTCTCTGCGCAAATCGCAAAATAGGGTAAATTGCCGTGATTCCACTCCCACCAGCGATCATCGTGAACTTGTTGACTCGACGAATCACATTTTTAGTTGCAAATAGTCCTCCCGCTTGACATTCAAAGTCTCCAAATGGGCCCTTGCATTCAATTGTATCGCCAGGATTAAGCAGATCAATACAGGCAGACATCTTTCCAGCAGGCTGTTCTCCACAACTTCTATATAATTTCACAACCAAATCGAATTCTCCCATCTGGTCTGCTTCAGATATAGGAGTATACGCTCGTACCACTTTCTCACCTGACGAAGAGATGCATCGAAGGTAGAGATACTTTCCTGTTGGCACTCCTAATTTTTGTTGACAGTGATTCAATGCAAATGTGAGTCGTACACTATCATGGTTGAGCACAGTTTTTGTCTTTAAAGTAATTTTGCTCCAACGCTTTTGATCTAGAAAAATGTCTCGTTGTGGATTTGTACTTGCTTCGTCGAGCATAATCTTCTTTGATGGATTCGTGTTAAGAATGCCAATATGATACTTGACTAGCATGGCTTTTGCAATATCACTATGAATGGCCATAAAATCATCAGAAGCATCTGCTCCACTAGCCAAAATGATCGACTCAGAGCCACCAGGATGGTCTTTCAAATATTCGGTAGCATCATAAACATGTCCATTGACAGCAAACCATGCATCACCATCTTTATTGTGTTCTGATAATTCTTCCTCAGTAATAATACGAGTAACATGATCATCAATCATCTTGACAGCCAACGATGACTTTTCTTCTGGGGAAGCTGCCACTAATGAGCGAGTACCCCAAAATCCATCAGTCAGTTCACCACCTTGTTCCTTGACTCGTTCCATCCAACCGCCTTTAGTCAAAGCAGGTACAGTTGGATGATCGAATTTCAAGCTATGTCCATCTTGTTCTTTAATAATCGTCAATCTGTGCCAGCAATTATTGAGCATACTTAGAACATTCCAATACATATCACGAGGCTGCACATTCATGCTTTCATCCATGGCTCGAACGACGATGTCTTTTGCTGCAAACAATTCCATAGTAGGAATTTCGATTGTCCAAAAACACCAACAGAAAGAATGTTCTCGAACGGCCATGTCTAGTGTCCCACCGTATAGTTGAGGATAATGTACGGCATTTCTATAGTGATCTTCCGGGTATTCAATGATTGCCAGTTTCCATGTGTGACCTTGATCTAATGATACTTCGACTCTTCCGATGCGTACTCCACCACCATTATATGCATATCCTTGCACACGGTAAGACTTGCCTTCCTCTACCTTTACAATTTCTTCATGAGCTGGATAACATATGGCACTTTGTACATTCAAATTGTATAAAGCATATCGTTCGTCATTGTACCAACGTTTCTGTTCAGCAGCGATTTCTGGTGTAATCATGGTCGGCAGCACTCGATTATCGAAAATATGATACCAATTGTCACTTGGCTTGTCGGTAATCATGATTCGTTTCAACCACTTTACACTTCGTCCACCTATTTGTCCTGGAATGACAACACGTAGTGGACGACCATGATCAGGAGCCAATAGTTCACCGTTCATTTTATACGCAAGCATAACTCCCATAGCAGGATTCATGGCAATAGATAATCGAATACTAGTTCCATAGTAACCGTTTGGAAGTTTGTCAGCACCTTCCATACACATGTATTGTGCTCCATGCTTCGGTTTAGCTATCTTGAGTACTTCATTCATTAAAACTCCAGTAAATAAAGCAGTACTTAGGCCTGCGCTTCCCCAATTAAATCCGTTTCCTTTTCGTACAACATTTTGTTCTTTTCGTCGATTACCTGCACATACCAATGTGATGGGAAGTGTCACTTGAGAGTATGTCAACAGTTCGGCTAGTGTTAGTGTCAACGGTGTTTCAACCATTCCTTCGACACTAAATTTCCAATTGAAAATCTCGGAATCATGTACTTCTGGCACAGCTCCATGATTTCGCACAAACCATAATTCGGTAGGAGTGAGAAATCCACTGTCATACAGAATACTCAGTGGTGGCTCACAGTTAAATGGATGAATACCAGTGAGCCGAATCAACCTACTATCTCTGTGAACATGTGCATCTGGCGTCTTTTCGTCGCATTCCAATGTTTTTGTCGGCTTTTCTGTTTGCAAAGGTAAAGGAAACAGAATTTTTTCTTGCATATTGGCACGTGATTCTGAAATTTCACCATTTTTTAATTCTGAAGATGTTGAGCAAGGTAACTTTCTACTTTCTCCATTGTTTATAATAGATGTTGAACACTTGTGCTGTTCGTGGTCTGGAATTGTCAAAGCCGCCTCCTTGCTAGTTACTTTTTCTAGTGACACAGAAGTCGACATTATTATCTAAAACAAAACGATCTCATAAGCAAACCAAGGGTGTCGGTATGTGTATTAATATTGTCTTCACGCTCATATTCTTCACATAGGTTTTTGTGTCACATAACGCTGATGCATAAAAGGATCCTGAGTTTGAAATCCCCATGCTTAAATTCTAATTTTCTTCGAAAGCTGATACTAAATCAAATACACTCAAAGCAATTTTTGTAGAGCATCAAAGAGCTTTTCAAAGGTAAAAATTTTTTCATTTAACTATTTTGACTCATTTTGAAAAACAGAAAAACAAATGCCACGCTGTTACACGTTGTTATTCTAAATTGATATCTTCTGTTTATCGGATCTAGATTTGTCCGGATCAGTTCTTTTAGCTTCTAAACAGACGTTTCTGCGACTCTGACTAAGTTTCAAAGTAACACAGAAAAAGTGGAACGGACAATACGGTAATTAGAGTTTAAAGACTACATATTTAGACATTCGCAGAAATAGTTTCCTGAATAATAAAATTTATTTTTCTACACTTCCAAGTATGCTCTACAACATGGCATGACAGTTCATTTCGAATATTGAAATAAATACTGAATGTCTAAAGTATTGTGTTACGTGGGCAAACCGTTTTACGTTCAATTTTAATTTTATCACTAGTCGAATAATTGTAGAAACTAAATATACTTGCATGCTGGTTGATACTGAAGTGTACAAATTTTTTTTATATGCTCGCAACCAATTTTATGTTGTATACATTACTGACAACACTACTTCATCTATACCAACAAATGTATATTTACGTGAATCAATGAAGCATTACTTTTTCATCAGATAGACAGTTTGTTTTTTCCTTTATGGGCCCCTAAATCATGTTTATTTCGTTCTTCACATGTTTTCCCTCACTTTCTTACTTAATTTTGCGTTTCGCTCTGTTTTAAGGAGAAAATATACACTGATGTTTGCATACACGTAAATTTTGGTTGTAAATAAAATTTCCGATGAATTGAAAGATTAAATAAAAAATATGTATGAAATTTTTCAATTTTTTATTGATGAGCTTTCGACACTACTTGTGTGATCATCAGAGTAGAAAACAGATATTACAATAGAAGATATTCATATAGATATTCATTAGACTTAGAATTTTATTCTAATCTGTATACATCGCTTCTATTGTAAAATCTGTTTTTTTACCTGATGATTACACAAGTAGTGTCGAAAGCTTGTAAATAAAGAAATGAAAAATTTCATATGTATTTTTTATCCAATCTTTCAGTTTATCAAGAACTCTATATACAACTCAAACTCAGCTAGCTGCATTTTAAAGAAATGTGACGAATTACTTTAACAAAACTCAAGCATGTCGAGTTAAGTATAATGGAATTAGCAAAAACTTTGTCACAATTAAACATTGAGTTTTATTATCAAACGCAAATCGATCATTATCATTTGGACGAATTCTCATTGTATCTTTATATTAATGATATTCAATAACATATTGAGACTATTCATCAAATTCAATATCTTTTAATGCAATAATACATTGGAGCTTTTTTTCTTATATATATAATGAATATATTAGGAACAAACGATAAAGAATGTTTAGGAAAAAGTGCATCAGTCAGATACTGATTATGACTCTTTGATCGCTTCTTAAGCATAACTCACGAAATTTTCAAGGTAAATTGGTTTTGAGCAGCTTTTTGAAAAAAAGAACCATCTTCTCATAAATTTGTGAATGATTATCTACGGATGAGTCTGAACGTTGAGAAAACCAAAAAATTCGATTTTTAGCTTGAAGTTGTTTATGGATGGCTGCTTAAAATTATTATTAATTCGTATTTTTCAGAGTATTTTGTTATTGATAATTAAAAAAGGCATATGTACACTGATAGGACACCGGTTTCCGTGTGAATTTGCGTAGATTCAAGTTTAGAACGTTTTTAAATATCATACTCATTCCACTGAATATTTGTTGAAATTTAATATGTATATTTCATTAATGAATATACAATGCGCGTTAGTAAAAATAATGGTATCACAGACAGAATGATTCTATTGAGAAATTACTTTCTTTTCGTCATTTTCAGTATGTAATGTCCATTCTTTTTTGAATGATTTCTTCGAAACATTCTTCACAAAACATTCATTTTCAATCTGAGCAAAAAGAAGCTAAAACAAAGTGACGAGTATAACACTTTGCATGAAACAATTCTTGAACCAATATTTAATTGCAATCTCTCTCAGATAAAACTGTTATTTGTATAGTGGCGAGTTGAGCATATATATATTTTTTCTGTCAACGTAAAATGTGATAAAACACAACAATTAAATAGAAAAAAATAAAATAGAGTTAACAACACTTTATATAGTCATTTTTGAGCACTTTAAAAGCCATAAGAAGTTCTATCGCAAGATGCAAGCTTCGCACCAAAAAAATATGAACAAATAAGCAGAATCAATAAAATAGCTAAGAAGAACACTACGATATTTTATTATGAGCTGTAAGAAAAGTATTGTTACTAATGCGAATGTAATATCAGTGAGACAATGAGTTCCAATGACCTATTGTTTGTATTAAATGATCCTAAACACCAGCCACCGCTGAAGACGTAGCTGCTCCTACTCGTAGACTATGCCCACTCTTAGCAGAAGGTTCATTATCTAATTGGAGCAATGTCTTAAATTGAAGATAGAAGCAAAACGAGTAAATGCTTGACCGTTGGGTAAAAGAAAGAAAGGAGTCATCATTACTACTGTTGCGAAAAACAGTAAAACAGTTTAAAGCATGAATTGCATAATTAATATATCCGTTTTCAAGCAAATGAATCTTCACTTGTTTTCGTTCAATAACGGTCTTTGATGACTTTAGATGAATAATAATACAATTTATATCATGTTTAACACTAGAATTCGTAACATGTAAACGCAGAGAAAGTTTATCGGCAAATTATTCACTATATTAGAAGAAATCTCAAAACGCAGTAGTAAGTGGTGCTTGCATGGATGCATCATGATAGGGGTTAAATATACCGCGTCGTAATGCACCAATTTATTTGTTTAGAATATTGATGGTAACAGGTTTGCATTTTGTTGGTGGATAATGACTTTCAACGTCGTGCCCCTCTAAGAATTATCTCAATCCGTGATATTTTCTACTCGATCATGTCTAAAAATGGATAAAAAAAGCCAGCACATAAACGATAAAAACCAATGGCATCTAAGTAAAAGTAAATTGTAGAATATCGAATGTTAGGAATAGCATAACAAAATGCTATGAAAAGTAAAATAGAATTATGAGTTAAATGATAAGCGTGTGGATATAGGTTCAGCGTATCGTCACTCAACCCCCCCCCCCCCCCCCCCCCCCCCCAATACCCTACCGTTTAGTTATTTTCTGATAAGAGAGAGTAGAAGGAGAGTGAGTTTAGTAGCGAGTATCAGTGGGACTTAGACCAAGGATAGCGATAGATAGTACTTAGATAGAAAGGAAATGATTCATGTCCATATGTTTTGGCTCGTCTATACTTAGCGTCAGAAAACATTGTGAAATCATCAATAAACGAGTATGTCCCAGGAGATCCTTGACACATTCTTAGATGAGGATATCAATGATATAGGTCTGTTCCGTGCGTGCGTGAGCATCTACTCTCGCTAAAGCTCTATCAGGATGTTACTAATCGCTCGCATGAAAAATGAATAGAACATTTTTTTCATGGCACTGCAGTTTATTTGAAAGCAAAAGACAATAATAAAAAATTTGATCATTGACATTGAGTTTATTCGAGAGAAAACACTTGAACACGATGATTCCAATAATCGACGACATAGAGATTGCCTTTTTGATCAAAGGATAAACCAAAGGGGCCATTTAATTGATTTGACGGTGCTCCATAACCGTTTTCACCAACAATGACACTTCCCTGCGTGGCTCCTTTTGACCAACGCATGATGCGGTGCTTACCAGAGTCAGCGACATAGACAGTGTCCAATTGATCGACAACAACTCCTCGAGGACCTGATAGTTGTGCAAGACTATTTCCTTGTCATTGACCGCCAGCTACGACAATGGCTTGTTTTGCACCTTCTTTCCATTTCATGACACGATGATTTCCTTCATCAGACACATACACTGAATGATGATCTCGATCGACAAATACGTACCAAGGGTGAGAGACTTGATTGAGTCCGTTTCCTTTCCCATTACCACCTGCAACTACTGTTCCTCGACTGTCACCCCTTTGATATCGTCTCACTTCATGTTCTCCATATTCAACGACGTAGAGTAATCCTTGCTCATCTATGGTTAACCCGATGCAACCGACATCTCAAATAATAGTCTCACCACAGGTACCATTGCGACGAGGCCATCGGACTACTCTTCTATTCTCAAAGTCGGAGATGATGAAACTATCTGTCTCTTTGTCGACAATCACTTCAAAGGTGTATTGAATTGATGATCCCCATTCCCTTGTCCATTGCCACTAGCAACGATTTTGCCATCTTTTGCATCCGATTGCCATTCCATAACACGATTATTGCTTCGACGAGCAACATAAATTCTTTGATCATCATCGACAACCAAACCGAGTGGGCAATCGAGTTGATTTATTCCATTGCCATAGCCATTCCCTCCAGCAACAGTAACACCGTTCTGTGCCCATTTAGCATTTCGCGGTATGTTACATGTACTGGCACGTAGTGGTGATACTAAAAATGAAAAGACACACACAAATAACTGAGAAATATTTATTATCGTCCTTGTCATAGGACTACTCTATGTCGATTGAATTTTCATGGCAACAAGGATCAAAATGTGTTGTTAGTCATCTATCCCACAGAAAAACTTATGGTGGGGTTTAGAAGAATAATAAAATGAAGACAACAAGTATATATGTAAAAGAATTTACAATCTAAGAAAACATAATGGGATTTCGCCTAAAGGATTTTGAAGAACCACGACATAAGCCTTTTTCAGAAGGATAAATACTTACTCGAACTATAAATCCGTAGTGTAGCGGAGCAAGAATTTCGAATTACTATAACATACAACTAGAATGCAAAATGAGATAGTTAGGCTGCAACAAACAAGATCTGCAATGCTACAAGCAATGCCTTCCAATGCCGTGAATTATGTCAGGAGATGCTAGATTGAGTTAAGAGCATTGAGAAATACAAACTGCATGATTTCGGAGAAAGCATTTGAATGAGTGTACAGAGAGATGAAGCTCTAGAATCATTCATCGATATACTAGACGAAGTTTTACAGATAGATCTGCAATCCGAGATCCTAAGAATGGTAGCTAAGATGATAACTCACATATCTGAGTTGCGAGTAAGGTGACATCGAATCCTACGGCAATGAGGGAAAGTATTAGAATTTTTCCTAACAACACTAGACTGACGAACTGCTTTACTGAAGTCAAAACCAAGGATTTTAGAAAGATGATCGGGAATGATAGAATGCGAATCTTCAGTGCTAGAATTATCGTCGGGAACACTAGAAACGTTATCAGGGACGGCAGAAAGAATATATAGGATGCTGAAGAGAGTATTTGAGATTCTCTAAGCATCACCTATTTTGCTAGAAACATGATCTGAATGCTATAAAATTGCCAGAACATCGCCTTACAATGCTAAAAGCAAGTTTGATAATGCTAGAACGATGTAAGAAGATTGTACAACGATATGGGAATACAAGTAGATTTTGGTTCGCCAGCTCCAAGTCCATATCATCTTTTGAAACTAAAAAAAGCAAGTGTCTGAAATAACCCAATTTTGACATAACAGTAGGGTGATTTGTGTAACTTATAAATATATATGAATGCTTGGCAATGTTTCAGAATACGTGGGAATGGTTCGGAATGAATAGATATGTGGCAAATGTTTGAAACGATTTTCCTTCTCCGGAATAATTCCTCATTAGTCATTTTTCAGAATTGAGCAGTACACTACTTACTAAGAATCTTTCTTAATTCGTCCAACTTTACATTGTGAACTTGATAATCTTGATGTAGTTTCTCCAATTCTTCTTTTAACCGTTTAATATCTCCTTGTGTCTGATGCCGAAACTGTTGAAATCCCTCTTTTAACTGTTTATCGTCTACTTTTGACTGCTTGCTTTCTTTTAGCTGTTCATTCTCTGCTTTCAACTGTTCATTTTCTTCTTTTAATTGTTTAATTTCGACTTGCGATTGATGTCGATATTGTGGAAATTGTTCTTTAAGACACATCATGTCGGTATGACTTTGAGTTGCATCGCGTCGCTTGTAGATAATCTTGCAATGTTCACAGGTTAATTCAATCAATTCACACTGAGATGTATGTTTCTCAATTTCCTTTCTAGAAAATGATAAATGACAGTCAGAACACCATTGAGGATGGCAACCCCATTCTGTTTCATATTTTTCGACCGCTTCGTATGGAAGAATCTAAAGTAAAATATTAGCGAAATAATCTCGCTAGTAGAACAACTAACCTCACAACAACTATTCGGTTCATAAATTCAGGATACCTGTAACAGAGATAATTGATTACCAATAAATAGAGGACAAGTTCTGTCGATGAATAGTTCGCATCCAGCTAGACACTGATTTCTACCTTCATGGAGATATTTTTTAATGCACGCCGAACAAAAGGAAGTTCCGCATGTTTGACAAGAGACCGGTTTCCAAAGGATATTATGACATATCAAACACTGTAGATCTTCCAAAATGACTCCAGATTGATTTCGAACACGATCTAATGCAAGTCCAACTTCGTTTGTAGATGTCATATAATAGAATATGATAGTTCTAGAAAGACATGTACACTCTTGAGTAAGTTTTCAATTAAAAAAATATAATATTGTTACTAATAATGAGATTATTAAGCAGTGAAATCTTTTTTTTAATCTTTCTTCATTGTTTGTGAAAGAGACTGGTCAGTAAAACGCTAGCAAAAGAAATGCTCGTTTGTTTCTATTTTTATTTCGACATTTCAAAACATAACGACAACAATATTGTATTGAAGATAATTACGACCTAATTTATGTGCGGTTAATTATATATATATATATAAATGGACGGACCTAGTAGAAAGGCCTTGCAGAGGGTGTGGGGTGTGGGGTGTGGGTGTGGGTGTATGGTATGGGTATGTGTAGATGTCAATGTAGGTGCTTGTATGGTCCTGAGCCTTTTCGTCATCGAGACCTTCAGTCACAGCTACACAACCATGTCCGCACCCACAGTCACACTGGGAATATGCGATTCTAAGATCTCATTCCCAGAATTGCTGAAGAATGCTTTAAATAATCTGCTAGAATCCTGATAAATCTTGTCACAATTCGTCTTAGGATTCTGAACAATGTGTGGTAATGTTTTCATGAAGACTTCGTCAGTCTATTAATCGATTCCTGATTCAAATATAGTAAAATAGACGATTAGTATTCTGGTAGATTCTTGTTCTACTTGTCAGAATTTTTAGTACTTCAAGGCGAAGCATTGTCTTTAAACCTCAGCCATTGGCTCAAACGAAAGGGTGATTTTTTGACAGGATTCATTGAACGTCTGGAGTGAAAATACTAAAGATTTTCTCTAATGATCGGAGACGATTTCAACTGAGATTCAAAGAAAACTAACACTAGCCTGAAGTATATATCGTGAGAAGATGCTCAACGGGAACCTATTACACTGTCTGTAGAATTTTTTGTTGATCTCTATCCTGACTTTTGTCCGCCCAAAACTGAAAAAGAATCGTGAAATTAATATCTTACATGGCTACTAAAGACGATTCTGTTACAAATCATGGCAATATTTTTTCCATTTGTTCCTTTTGAGAGCCTCAGCAAAATCACAACTGTATCCTTGAAAGATCCCGAATTGTTGCTCGCAAAAAATACAGGAGGATCTTGACATGTGGCCTAGACCCGTGTTCGGATTCTTCAACAATTATCTGGAAAATATGGCTAGATTCTAAGCGATATCTGTTGAAATCTAGACAGCAGCGTTCTTTTTATTCCTGCTCAGATCCGAATCAAGATTGCGACTGAATTCTGGTAAGATTCTATATTCCTATTTTAGAAAAAAATTCTGAACAAGGTCTTAGAAAACTCTGAAACAGATCCTAACAAAACTCTAGTTTATCCGGAGAAAGAAACGACTAAGATTTGAAGTAAGCTCCTGATTCGAAGCTGGACTAATTTCTAGTAAATCGAAATCTTGATGGCTCCCTTCAAGGCTTCTTTAGGAATGATTAGGATTGATACTAGGCATACCAGAAAAAATGCATTTTTTTAGAGTCTGTTTTCTCAGAAGAATATGCCATGTTGACTGAAACCTTCGGAAAATTATAGTTACCACAAGAACTCTTTGGGTATATAGTTTTAGATCAAAATTAAAAGACTTCATTTTTCATGACGTACCTCGTCATGAGCAAAAAATGCAGTAAAATGGCTATAAATCGAGACGATATAACCATGGTGACGAATCATTCTAGACTTTTCCAGTTTCAACAGGACCTATGAAACGACAAAAGTATCATCTTAAGAGCTGTTTATCACCTAAAAAGGTTCTCTTGATTACCAGGAGGAGGATGTTTATTGGCAAATAGATTAGACAGCTCGAAATGAAAGCTACACTCATTATTTCATAGCGAGTTCCACAAAATGGTGCATTTGATATCGTTTTCAATAAAAGATGCCACAACACGGTTACTTTACAAAGAGACTACAGAGGAAAATAAACACCTTACCAACCTCTCCGCTTCATGTTCAAATATGTATGCGATGCTGAAAGAACATTTTTCTCTTTTGACACCGGTGTTTTCAACAATCAATCGCTGAAAAAGAAGAAAAATTACGTTTGCTTTTTCGCTGTTTATTCTCTCTCGTGATCATTCCTAGGGTGAAACGCGGTAAGAACGTAGAAAAGTGTTTCCTAGATGCCATAACATGACTACTTTACAAAAAAAACTTCATTAGAACAGAAACATCCAACCTCTCTTTTTCATTCTTGTTCAAAGCTGTGTGAGATGCTAAAATGACGTTTTTTCTTTAATGTGCTCTGAGGTGCTCACTAACAAAAGAAAAGAAAATTCCCTAAACGAGAAAAAAATTTTCCGATGTTCATTCTTTGTCGCAGTGATGCCTAGGTAACTCAATAGGAATTAGAGGCCGTCACAAGCCACCTTTTTGTGTCCTGCTCTGAGGACGATCTCTGATAAGAACGTATAAAAAAACCTGTTCTATGGAGAAAGCATTAAAAGAATTTGTCGAGCCGTAACAATTACACTGCACCGTCCTTTCTGTCTATTTCTTTCATCTTCCAAATAGGTGAGAAACGCATTCCTCACTTCTTAATAGGTCATTCAATATATGTGGAATTTGCAGCTTCACACTTTGCTCTTGATTATTTATTCTGTAGGCCTAGTGTGCTATTTCATTCTGATCAAATATCAGTGTTTGCTTTCGCAATGCAAGTATAAACCAAGGGAGGAATCAAGGCATTCTAGCACCCAGGTTAGAGTTATGCTCGTAAAACGACCAGGTACTTCGAATTACAGTAGTAAATAACGATAGTTAACAGTAACCCTATAAAGCCATCGTATACGGGCTCTGGCAGCATTTTACGATAACCGTGTACTGTAATCATGAAAAATGTCTTGTAAGATCACCCTGAACTTACTGTTATTGCATACGACGTTCGTAAAACGTCACAAGAGGAGGTGTGGGTTTGGGTGTATATGAAAGGAATACCAATGCTTACACCTATACTCTCCAATTTCCTGGATTTGTGACACTACTTCACAAATGTCAAGAATTGTTAAAGTATGTAATGTGAAAAGTGAATCCAATTTGCAAATTTGTCATTTTATTCGAGTTTATCACAGTGCTAATCGTTTCGCTATGTACATATCTATCCTAAGAAAAAAATTGAATTAAATAGTAATAGACTTCTAAGACAGTTCTTTATCAATAACAGTTATTAATGTAAAATAGTAATGAAAGGAAA